GGGGCTATCAAGCTGGCAGGCAGAGTGATTAAGGGCAATCAGGCAGCCAGGCAGGCAAGTGGTTAGGAGCCAGCAGTCCCGGATTGTGAGAGAGATGTCTGACTGCTGTTTTAGGCCTGATCCTAAAGGGGTCCCAGATTGGAGAGAATGCAGGCTTGGTTAAGGGGCACGCCCACACACCCCAAGGCCTCTGATAATGGTTATAAAGGCAAAATGTCCTTTAGGAGTCAGGCTGGGCAAATTCCCATGAAGTGAGTTTATCAAGCAGTAATCTGTAATCAGAAGAGTGGCAAGGGACTGCAACTTCTGCAGACCCAACTCTTCCTCTCTTCTCCCTCCAGACTAGGCCCTCCTGACCTTCATCTTTCAAATAGCCATATTTACTCACAGCATTGCAAAAGGTTTTTAGGTAGCCAGTAGGAGTCCACCAAATCTAGAACTGATATCATCTTCTCTGTCCAATGACGATGATGCACACACCTATAGATATATCTTAATGCTGTGGTGAGTATGCCTCCCCACAATGGATGTACAGACAACACCCCACAGAAATACTCTGTGTTTAATCTGGCAGAGAAGACTAAACCCAGTAATTTCAAAATATTTTTCATTAACAATCTTCTTGTAAGCACTTCCCACCAACTTCAAAGATGCATATGCAATTATTTTCTTTTTCTCCTAGAAACACCAATACTCAAAGGTTCTCAAGAGTTATATCTCACCATGGCAATCACTTTGTCAGTTATATAGATGTCTAATCACTATGGTGTACACCTGAAATGAATACAATATTGTATGTAAACTACAATTGAAAAATTAAAAATAAGTTAATAAAACCAAAAAAATAGTATCTCAAAATATCCTGATTCCTGTCACTGTTTCCCACACCAGATCTCCTGCCCATCGTGGCTTCTCAACATGTGAAAATATAGAACTGATTAATTATGAACTCTGTGGCTTGTCTGACCCACATCTCACCTTACTCTTAGCTCCCTTGGAGTTCCATTCCATAGTGGGTGAGTATCAATTACAGAAAATAAGGTTTCCCTGATACCCAATCTGAAGTTTCCTTCTACAAGTATCATCCTATTACTTCTATGGGCCACACTATATAATTCCTCTCCTTCACTGCCACTCTCTCTCTTCAGATATCTGTAGATTGTTATCATAGCTTTCTCTTCATTGCTACTTGGCCCAGACATATATATTTAATTATTTTCATCTGTCATCATAAATCAATCCCTTCAACTCTTAAATCAGCTCTCTGCTCTTCTCTGGACTAGTTCCAACTTTCCCAATTCACCTCCAATAACTGATATTCCTTCTGGGAGCTGAATTTCATTTCTATCTACTTTAGCTCTCTTTGTCCTTCCAGAAATGAAATGGGAAGGGACTGACAGATATGTGAGGTTAAAAGTCGGATGTATTAAATTACATACATCTATTTTAAATTGATCAAGTCTTTTCACAGTACATGTGAAATCCCTAATCATATAGCCCCTTTCTTGAAGTGGGAAGAAGTAGAGTGATTATAGGGAAATAAGTCCTCCTAACCCACAAATCATCATTCTGTAGGCCTCTTTCTAGGAATAGCAGAAGCAAAATGTTAAAACATCTATAAAATAGGCTACAAAATGTGGCTGTAAACTATATGATGGCTTCCAGGCAGACATATTTTCTGAGGTTTGGGGCACTATCACTGATACAGTCCTAGTAATAGCCTCTCTACCTCTTCTCCAGGAATGGGTTCTATGCGGAGTTGTCTCAGACTTTGAAATGCTAACCCCATCTGTGAATTCAAAGCAACCCACATAGAAAAAAAATAACATTTAATGTATTATAAGTCCTCTCAAGGATCCTTTTGTCCTCTCAGCCAACACAAACCACAAGTAATTCAAAGTTATTGCTTTGTCTTGACTGGGTACTTTTCCATTTTTACCCCATCCCTAGTTATGGTCCTACACAGAGTTAGGAAGCTATCTTCAGTCCGACAAATGAACTACTTTAGGCCCTTCACCACAACAGTAACAGAACTCCCATCTTCTCCTCTTCCCTCCCAACAGAAAACTCCATCAGCCTGGTTGTGCCCCTCAAGACCAGACCACCAGCCAGTTGGAAAGAATTCGGAAGAAATAAACTAAGTTGTGCCTATTTTCCCTTTGTATGCTTGAAGAGCCTATGTCACAGAAGAGTTAAATGTCTTTTCTATAAATCACAGCCTATATAAAAAGATTAAATCCATTACCTCAAACATGATAAATAGTAAAATCAATCCAAGTGTGAGAACCTATGCTTAAATTTTCAAACAAGAAAATGAATGAAACCATAATGATGTAAGTTGCCCCAAACACAAAACATGATATGCAGGGTGTGTCCATTCCCTGTGCTTTATTGTCATCGTGGCTTCTGTGGTTTATACATGCAACATTCTCTTTTACAGCCTAATGTTTTTATAATGGATATAAAAATGACTTCTCTGGGAATATGGATTCTCTCCCCTCTCTCCCCCCCCCCTACTTTAATGCTTTCATGTCTATGGGCATCTCTAGAGCTTTCCCATCACCTCTTGTTAAATGACCATGGGTTCTAGCAGTCTAGATCCACTGTTGATCCACTACTGCTGGGAAGGTCTTACAATGGAGACTATATCTGAACGTAAGACAAGAAGCTAGTCCTGCATGGCCAGATGCCTAACTGAAGACTGTATACATCTCAGAGCAGGAGAGTCCAGCCTTTTCCAAGTGTGAACATCACAAGGCCCAAAGTGCTTTTCAATAAGCTGGCTGTCTCTCTGGAGGTCATGGGGAGCTCATCCAGTTACACTTAGTGTCTTATTTGTTCCCATCAATTATCATTTGGTCCCAATCCTGTTGAAAAATGCTTGGCCAAAATTTCTAGCTTTTTAATGGCAGAATCCTGGCTCTTTCTCAAACAGGATTGCTTGATGTGTCAAATGATGCATAAGGGCTTGGTCCAGTTGCCAAATGGACTGTGCTGCTGAGGGAGGACTTGGGTGCTCACAGCGCTTCCCTACCATCAGTATAAGAGCAGCTCTTAAAGCACACTCCTCTCTACATGAAACTCCCCCACTCAGCAGCTTCATCTCTTATCTAAGGCTCAACTAGATTATATTCTTCAAATGCATTACACATGTGACACTTCAGAGACATCCACTAATAACTTCATGCAACCTGTTTGTATTAGGCAAGTTCAGGATCACAGAAAGACCCCTTTTACCTGTCACCAACATCTAACAACAAGTGATCTAGACTGCTAGGACCTGTGGTCACTTACCAAGAGGTGATGGAAAGCTTTAGATCGCTCATAGACATGAAAGCAGTAAGGTGGGGGGCGAAATCCACATTCCCAGAGAAGTCATTTTTATATCCATTACAAAAACATTAGACATTGAATGAGAATGTTGCATGTCTAACCCACAGAAGCCACATGACATTAAAGCACAGCTGTTCTTTTATGAAAGTTTCTGTGGTGAGACAACAGTATTGGTCTCCTAACTCATCAGACCCTACCTCTTACTATGGATTAATATATATTTCACCATTGAGTAGAAAGGAGTCATTTTAGATGCCAATGCCACCAATGTTAATGCTGAAATATGCACCCAAACTCTGTTTTGATTGAGGACCACATACCAGTATGTTTACTGTGCAATGACTGAGGAACCTCAGCTTTTGAATATCCCTGCTGATGAGAGGATTGCATGTATGTGGAAGTATGTGTGTGTTGAGGCAAGCATGGAGATACTTGTAGCTCTACAATGGGCTTTTTTCAATGCTTTCCATTCAATTAATTCTAGACATTAGTAACCACTGGAGCATAAGAATTTCATTTCTTTCTGATGATGAGAATGACATAAAAGATGCTGGGGTTGCTCAAAGGAATTAGTGTAGGCTTTTAAAAGGCATGGTTTCTTTTCTGTGCTTTCTCACTCATTTCCATTGTCTATTTTATTTACGAGTCTTTCCCCTGTGGCCTTATAAGAGAAATCTCCATTCAAAACCACCTGATTTTCCAGTTAAGGATATTATGGGAAGAGATAGAAGTAATTGCCTACACACATACTCACACACATATACACACACAATCAACTCGGCGAATGTGGGCAGAAAAATGAGAGAGTAAATGGAACAGAAACCTCATTTCAGGAGTCCCCAGCAGAGAGATCTGCAGTGAAACAGGCCTGCCAGAGACCGTCATCCAGAGCTGCTGCTGCTGCAGACATTCAAGCTAAGAATTGGAGGGAAGGAAGGGGGCAGGCAAAGAGAGGAAAATCAACTATTATTTCTCACTGGCTTCACAGTGACTCCCCAAAGGAAGGCAATCTTCGCAACTTCAGTCCCTCTCTTTGCATCTTCCTTCTTTCCCCTGTCCCTTAGTTCCTCTAGGATTCTCTTACCGACATCTGAGAGGAAGAACAAGAGTTTGAGTAGATAGCAGACTGGGGTTGGAGAGGAGGGAGTAGAATGAATTCATGAAGAAGAGGCACCCCCTAGGTGACCCAACATTTGAAGGAAACAGCTGGGTGGAATTCAATAATATGACGAGGAATTCTACATCCCCTGAGAAAGTATACCACATTACCCAAACCTGTGGTAGCCAAGCAGAGGAACCAGAGGAAGGAAAGGTGGGCAATAGATTTTGAAACATACAAGCAATAGGTTCATTTCAACTGTTCCAGGGACCCCCAAAGAAGAGCATCAATTTTGGTTGGGATCCTATGTAAGTCAGGAGAAGACATTCTGCCAAGAGCAGAAAACTTTTTCCCCAATTTGGTTGCTGAAGAGGAAAGAAGACCCTTAGGGAAAGACTTCCTTCCTAGGAGGATAGGGGGAGAAAATATAGTCTAAGTGGGAGAGGTTTGCAGAAGGAGGAAAGAGGGCCAAGAACCAGAGACTGGGGTTTTGGAAAAGGAGCCAGTGGCTCCAAATCGATGTGTCTAAAAAAACAAATCCCTACAAACTCAGGCGAGAGCTGCTCACCGATCCTGAAGATCTGAAAGAGAAGGCGGGGCTGAGAGGCGCGGATCGCTGCTGACAGCTTTCCCTCTCTGCCCACTTCGGACGCCTTCTTCTCAGGCATCAGGCGGATCCTCAGCCGCCCCTCGCCATGGCGAATCCACCAGCCGAACAGCTCGCTGAGGTTGAACTGGAGCAGCCCAGCGGTCGCCTCCTCTGGGGGCCCCACGCAGCCCTCAAGAATGGACTCCTCTCCCAACTCTAGCACAAGCTGCTTGGCCCGCCGTAGCTTGCGAACCGAGCCGCCTTTCAGCACCCTGGACAGCGTCCGCCCCGGGGCTGGCGAGGAGCTGGCTCCCGCCGTCCTAACTGCGGGCGGTGGCCCCAGGAGCCTGAGCAACGGGGCGCAATCTAGAGCCAGCGAGCTGCGCGCCTCCAGCCGGCCGGCCCTTGGCTGCGAGGGGGATGGCGGCGGTGGCAGCAGCAGCTCCCGGGCATAGACGCGGAAGAGCGAGGGCACCACGAAGTCCACCGCCAGGCTCTTCCTCTGCAGGCGCGAGTAGCTCAGCGGCTCCCGGGGCTGCAGCGCAGACCCCATGGCCAGTGGTGAGCCCACGCTCTGGTTGGCCTCGGTCTCGGTCCCAGTGCCAGAGGCTACTGCTGAAAGCAGAGGCGGCAGCAGCAGCCACAAGAGTCCTAGGGCTCCCATCCCGCCAGAGAGGTTATGACTCTCCGTTATCCAGCCTCTCACCCTTCTCTCCCAAATGAGAAGGGGTTGGTTACAATCAGTCCTTGGTCCTGAAGGCTCCTTCCACCTGATGTCTATGGAATTAATGCGTGCACTCGGTTCTCTCGCTTTCCTCCAACTGCAATGAGGCCAGCAGGAGTCTCAATGAAACAGGGCTGAAAGCTCAGGGGCGTGTCAAGAAACCCTGAAGTGCACTGGGCTTAGCAGCCGAGACCCTGTGCCTCTTTTGTGACTGTAGCTCGCTGCCCTCTGGAAGGAGAGAAACTACAATGGTTCAAAGATAGGTGGCAATTGGGTACTGTCCTCTCCTGCCTCCCATGGCCTGAGCTGTAGTCTGTCCGCTCTCGATTGGCCTCCAAAACTCAACTTTCCAGCTGGAGACAGTGGCTCTGAGCTGTAGTCTGCTGTCCCTGGCGGCTGCCGCACACCTTTGGGCTCCTCTGAGCCTCTCGCCCCTTGAAGGAAGGGGTGCCGATGGATGGCGGAGACTGCTTTCTCGTGCACCCTCCTGAGACCCTCCGGAGCAGGAAGTCTTGGGGCTGCGCCGCTTGCTTAAACTTCTGGGCTTGAATTGAGCTCCCTGCTGGGAAGCGGAGGCTCAAGCCTCCGCAGCACAAGTTTGAAGCAACATCCTTGCTCTCCTCCCGCGTCTCTTCTCAGAGTTCTCGGGCACCGCCAACGAAAGCACCCCAGCGGCAGCAGCAGAATGAGAGCATTCAGGACAGGAGAGCCTGAAATCTTGCTGCCCCGTTGCCACCCATCGGCAGCCTCCGCCGCTTCGGATAGGCTGGCCGGAGGGCGGCTCCAAGGTGCCGCGTTGCCCCGCGACCCTCCGGACAGCGGCGGCGCCGGGAGGTGCCAGCTGCTGCCGCCACTGCTGCCCAGGAGCCGCTGGATCCCATCTGCCCGGGCGCCCGCCACTCACATCTAGCGGGCAGAGCCGAGAGCGCGCCCGGGAGGGGGCGGGGCGCGGAGGGGGCGGAACTCAAAAGCTTACTCCTCCGCCGCGGCCAGACCTACGCAAACCTGCCCCGCCCTGCTCGCATCCGCCTACCAATGGCGTGGCGATGTCGGCTCTTATGCAAATCTGCAGAGGCCTGGGCATTCATTGAGAAAAGCACAAAGCTCGCCCCACCCTCCCTCCTCTTCTTTCCCCCTCCTCCAGATTCCCTTCCCTATTTCTCTGCTGTGTGAACGGGAGCTTCTTTTAGATAAATGGGAGGATGGAAGAGGCATGTGTAATCAAGCACGCTCCCTAAGTATGCATTTAGGAGATTAAACAGGACTGACTTCGGAAAATCGGGTATTGGAATAAAACTGGAGGTCAGGGTTAGGAAGGAGGGGGAGAAGAGGCAGGGTGACAAAGCCAAATGCCAGGACAGCTTGGATTAGAGACTGAGAGACTCTTCTTGAGCCTTCCATTATTTGAATGTATTCCTGGGAACCTTGTGATTGATGGGCCATCCACACAGGGAGAGCTGGCAAGGTTGTGGGGTGGGGAGTGGTAGTGATCTCCCAGATTTCTTCGGCTACCATAAATACTTTTCAGATCTGCCAGTTCCTCTTCCCCACCTCCCCCTGCCCCAGTTTCCTCAGACTAGTGCTTACATGTGTCACCTCCTTCAGTTTCAGTGAGGTAAATATTTTCAATTCCAGTTGGGAGACGAGGTTGGAGACAACGAACTGAATCGTAGAAATCTTAATTGGTTTTCCTTGGATCACAGTTATACATGCCTCCCAAGCCCTTACTCGTGTGCTCTTAACCACTGCTCTGCCATACCACCCCCACCACCTCATCCCTTTAAGAAAGAGGCCAAGAAGACCTAGGGGTGACTTAGCTGGAAGGAGTAATGATCTGATACTCTCGCTGTCAGCCTTGAGAGTTCAGAACAGCAGGCCTTTCTTTATTCACCTGTAAAATAAGGACTGCACCTCTGGTCTCCTTCCCTTCATCTCTCTCCCAGCTGCCAAGACAGAACTCAGATAATGGCTGTGTTTTCAGCCAGTGGCTCACTAGAACCAGAGATAAAACAACAATCTTTGGTTCACATAAACTCCTCTGTTCCTTTTTCTCAAAGGTTGATTGTCAGGACTGTGCTAAGTGGGGGAGTTAAAAATAAGGCAAGATCCTCCTTTGAGGAGATCACAGCCTAGCAAATAGCAGATGAGTTTCCTAGTGGAACCAGAGCACAGAGTAGAGTTCAATTTCCCTCAATGAGCTACAAAAGACTGTATTAACTTGCCCACTGCCCCAAAGGAAGTGGTGGCCAAGCAGGGCCCTGTTCTCCCAGGCTTCGCTCTGTCCAGCATTGTGGTATTGCCTTTGGCAGCTGAAAGACCAAATATGTATTTTTTTCCCTAGGGATGACTTGCTTTCTGCTCTATGTTTGGCAACTCTCTTAATTTGATAGGCAACTGGCCTCTCACTGGAAACCAAATTGGGTGCACTGATTCTACATGTTTAAGGGAAAAGATTGATTTGCTCTAAGGAAAAGAAATTATGCTCCTACATAGATGGAGAAAGGCATGGCGGGCAGAAGAGAAAGAGAAGAGGAAGGAAAGGATATTGAGGCATTTTCCTAGTATGTGAAAATATACTAGTAGATTTAATTTTTCATCAGATTTTGTTGGCATGCACACTGATGAAATAATTTTCAATTTAAAATGTTATAAAGATTAAAATGTAGGCCCCTTCACTCTCCCACTCCAATCCTTATTTTCTATATAATTCTTGTCCTAAGTCAAATTGACCAGTAATTTGTCAGTAACTCTGAACTGTCTACTACAATCAATAGCCACTAGAGGGCTGCAGAGACTAGAAACTTCAGATGAGACATGATGGTTTTACATTCTCTGGGATAATGTCCCGGGCTGGACCATTCATTGCCTTTGCACCCAGTAAACACAGGGGTCTTGATTAATTCTCATACTTTTCTAAATTCTCTAAAATTTCTCCCAAGAAAATACAAGTGCTTCTTCATGTGGATTAAATCACATAAAATCTCAAAAAATATTCCCTTTTCATTCATTTTCAAAAGGAGCAGGAATGAACATTAATAGAATCTATATTATTTCCATTACAGACACAAAACAGTTAAGGCTCAGAGAGGCAAAATAATCTGCCCAAGGTCAAACAAGTAAATAACAGAGTTGGAACTCAAACCAGTGATTCTTTTCCTCTAAAATGTACACATCCTGCCACAACAAATTAGGTGTTTTCCTCATGCTGATAGTTAGAATTTTGAGAGTTCTATTCTATATCATTGCCACCTGGAAGATGGGAGATGAGATAGTGTAGTTAAAAGCAAGTGGAGAAAAATAGAAAGTTTAAAAGTGTGAGAAAAAGTGATAGCTACCATGTATTGTACACTTATGAACCAGCATATTTCAAAATTATCATGCATCATATCATTTAATATTCATAATAACACTATGAGGATAAGTAATCATATCTCTATTTTACAGATCACAAACTGAAGTTCAGAGAGGATAACTTTCCAACAATAAGATTACATAGGTAACAGGATTTGTTAAATATGAAGGGGCAGCAGTGGAGCCTGCGATCGCAGGGAGCATAGCCTGTGATGGATTGCAAGGAGCTGGGGTTCCGCTCCTGTGGAGGCTTTCGGCCTGGGCAGGAGAGGAGCCTGCGATGGATCACGGGGATCTAGGGGTCCCCTGCCCAAGGGGCAGAGTCTGCAGTCATAGGAAGCTGGGTGTCCCCTGCCCTGAGCAGGAGCTAGAGGTGCCCTGTCCAAGGATGAAAGCCTCTGCCAAGGTTTTCAGCAGGGGCAGGAGCAGAGCCGGAGATCAGGGGGAGCTGGAGGGCGCCTGCCCAGGCCTAAAGCTTCAGACAGAGGCTTTAGGCCTGAGCAGGACTCAGCCCGTGATTGGTGTGAACTATAGAGGGAACACCTTTTCTAACTGCACATTGGCTTAGCTTCCTGTATGCCACTGGTAATGTTCTTAGTAACTTGGATAATAAGAATCCAAAAAGGTGATCTAGGGTTTTTCCATTAGACTTCTGGAGAAAAAAAAAAAAAATGAAGGTCAGCTGCTGGAGGGCTAAGAAATGTCATATCCTGCCCTAGCCAATTTGACTCAGTGGATAATGCCTCAGCAGAGTCTGGGTTGATTCTGATCAAGGACATGTACCTAGGTTGCAGACTCTTTCCTGGCCAGGACTCGGATTAAGGCTCATGCAGGAGGCAACCAATCAAAGTTATGAACCAATGACTGTGTAGGAGGTGGAGCTTTTGATGCTGACTGGCATAGAAACCGGCCAATCAGAACCAAATCTGGGTGCTGTGAGGAGCCAATGACTGCTTAGGAGGCAGAGCTTTTGACACTGACTGGCATATAAACCGAACAATCAGAACCAAATTGGCCAGGAGAGGAGGTCAGTTGGGGGCAAGATCAAGCCTGCAGGGGAAGGCTGTGGGGGCAAGATCAGGCCAGAAGGGAAGGGCAATTGGGGGCAACCAGGCAAGCAGGGAAGGGCAATTAGGGGCAATAAGGCAGGCAAGCAAAGGCAGTTAGAGGCAACCAGGCTGACAGGGGAGGGCAGTTATAGGCAATCAGGCAGGTAGGCAGGGGAGCAGTTAGGACCAATGATCCAGGATTGCGAGAAGGATGTCTCCAATTGGAGAGGGGGATTCCTGGCTGAGGGAATCCCCCCTCCATGTATGAATTTCATGCACTGGGCCTCTAGTGAAATATATTCTGATAGTCCATGTCCATTTCAGGTGAGCAGAGAACTTATAACCATCATCATTTAGGAACCCAGGCTGATGGATCAGCCACTAATATGAACTCGGAGGATCTGGCATCAATTAAATACTTTAGCCTGGAATGGCTCATGTTATTTCCATTCAAGACTCTGACTGTAAATATTCATAGGGTCCTAACCTTCTATGAAGGAATCCACAACGTAGACAGAAATATCTAGCCACAGCTTTACT